ACATTTCCCTCTTTCTTTGGGTCTTTATTTCTGAAGGCTCCTGTGTCATGCGAAACTTACATAAATTCACATGCCTTTCTCATGTGTGAGAGGAAAATAAATCTCAGGACATTCAAATCACTTAGCCAAAGGGAAAGTCAAGCTGAGAACTGTGTCAGGCAAACCTGCCTCCCATTCTATTCCTATATATGTAGCTACGAAGACTGAAAAAAAGCTACATACCTCCCTCACAAGGAAAGTCCTTGTGGACAAAGGAGAGACAGAACTTAGTCATCCCTCTGCTCACATGAGACAAATGCATATCTGATTGCTGCCCTTGCCGTACTTTTTCACTAAACCAGACTAAGGCATAAGTGATTATTCCTGTAAATTGTTTATTGAGTGAAAGGCTAATGAGAAACTAAAAAGATTGCAACTTTTTGTGTCTTATCTACCTATGACCTGGAAGTCCCCTCCCTCCTTCAAGTGGTCCCGCCTTTCTGTAACAAACCAATGTACATATATTACATACATAAATTGATGTCTGAGTCTGTGTCATGGGTGCATCATTAATGTTGAAAAATAAACTTTCTAAGTGGACTGAGACCTATCTTAGATATTTTGAGTTCACACTTGTTAATGTGTCTTTTGTTAAAGGCATCTCAACCATCAACCTAGTGATAAATGAGGAAAGAAATCTTTTCTCCCCTATATTTGCATGCCCCTCTGAAGGCTGGAAAAAATCTAAAATTATGCTGAATTATCTAATTTATAATATGTATCTCTTCTAGGCTCTTAATGTTGCCCCAAAAAACTTATATTTTCATGATTTTTCACTTTCTTACCCTCCTAAAAAAACCAGTTATTTTATGCTTTTCTAATCTAAAGAAACTTGCCAAGGAACCCCAACATCAAGGTTACCCGTCTGCTGTGTGTTCTGCCTCCCTTCACATTTTCATGGATGGACTACTGTGTTGCTGCTTTGGTCGAATGTTATGTACCCCCAAAATTCGTATGTTTAAATCTAACTCCTAAAGTGATGGTATTAGGAGGTGGAATCTTTTAGAATTGATTAGTTTGTGAGGACAGAACCCTAAAAAATTAAATTAGTACCCTTTTAAAAGAAACAAGACAGCTCCTTCAACCCTTCTACCATGTTAAGTTAATAGCAAAAAGATGGCCAACTTTGAAGCCAGAAATGAACCCTCACCAAGCAGCGAAACTGCTGATGCCTTGATCTTGGGTATCTCAGCCTCCAGAATTGTAAGAAATAAATTATTGTTGTTGATAAGCCTTCCAATCTATGGTATTTTCTTATAACTGCCTGAATGGACTATGACAGTTCCTAACTAATGCAAAGTCCTCAATCCTTGTGCTTCCCCAACTCAAGAAAACTAGTCTAGTGATTCTCCTTTTACTCTCTTCCGTTAGCAAATTTTACCTCTCCACTAGATCACTGTCAACAAAATAAAAACATGCTACACTTCCTTGACTCCATATATTTTTTTTACCACCTACACCACTGTTACAGGAAAGGGGTCCCCATCCAGACCCCCAAGAGAGGATTCTTGGATCTTATACAAGAAAAAATTAAGGGCGAGTCCACAGTGCAAATCAAAAGCAAGTTTATTAAGAAAGTAAAGTGGTGAAAGAACAGCTACTCCATAGACAGAGCAGAACATTTCCTAAAGTAAGAGGAGGAACATGTCTGCCCTAGTACAATGCTTGTTTATATACAGGATAAAAAAGATCATGGGGGGATGTGCTCTGCTACAAGGGTTTGTGATAAAGGATTAATTTTCTTAATTACTATATTTTGCAAGAATCAATATTGTTGTCTTTAAAGCAAAATTAGGAAAACCTTTGTTCTCAACATATCCTGATATTGGAACACTCCCAAGTCTGGGTCTGTTGAGTAAACATTATCAATCTCTTCCTTTAACCATAAACATCAAGAGACTAGGAATGACTAACTTTCTGGGCATGTGGCCCTAGCAAGTCCCAGCCTCATTTTACTAGCCCTCACTCAAGGTGGAGTCACTCTGGTTCAAATGCCTCTGACACCACCACATATCCCCAATTTATTACATCTCATTTTATTTCAAATGCCTTCTAATCCAGCTTTTGCTTATACTAATCTTCTAAAATGGTTTTGTTAAGATCATCAATGACTTCCACATTGCTAAATCCAGTAGTCAATTTTCTGTTCTCCTTTTCTTTACCCATTACCAGCAGTTGATACAGTTGATTACTTCCTCTTCGAAATATTTTATCCACTTGGCCTCTGGTTATAAGATTCACTTGTTTTTCTATTATTTTTTTGGCCACTCCTCCTTGGTCTCCTTCTATAATTGTACCTTTTATCCCAGTTTCTAAAGGTAGGAGTGCCTCAAAAGTCTTAGAGCTTTTCTGTACTCTACATGCAATCCCCTAGTAATTTCATCTAGGATGAATCCAAAATTTATATTCTCAGGTCAGAGCTCTCCAACATACTCTGGATATAACTGCTATGTTCTGCTATGACATTTATTTTGGGAATGCAAATTTGTATCAAAGTAATTAATATTATGGCATTTTGTGATTGGTATTAATTTGAGTATAATGCTATTTTCAGATTTGCTTTTATTTATGCTAATTTTGTTCCACTATGGGAATATGTAGGTATATTTCTTAGGAGCAGGGATTTTAATTTTGGTTTACTTATCTAGCTGCTGTTTGCTTTTGTTTTGTTTGTTTGTTTCATAAATATTTGTAAATGAATGAAAAAGTGGATTCAGGAGATGTGAAGTTCATGGGGATTACATGCAAAAATGTTTGTATACATTTAACCTTCTGTAGAGAAGGATAATAATTTTCTTCAGATGTTGAAAAGGTCCTTAATCATCCACACAAACCAGATTAATAATATAATTCTAGCAATAACCCAATAGGTCATTTTTTGAGCATCCGTATTAGCCCATTTTACTTAAAATGTTTATATAGTGGTTATAATGCTGAAATATTGTGCCCATTTGTAGATTTGTTATGTCAGACAATTGAAATGTGCCAATGTGCTAACAAGGTTTGCAGGAGGTAAATCTCATACATTGGCCTGAAAACCAAATCATCACAAATATGAACCACAAAAAGATCATATATATGAATTTTGAATAATAAACTCCATTGTTTAAAAAATGGATTTTAGCATGCATAACGACAGTATTGCTAACATTTTTGGTCTCAGAAAAGCAACCTATCATTTATAATTCTATTATATAATGTTAGCATTTCGCAGTATGCTCTTTGGGGCTTCTTTTTATGCATAATAGCATAATAGCTATTGCTTTTAGATGAACAGGTATTGTGAAGTTGTTAACCTTCTTTTGTTCTCTGAAAGTTTAAAGTTTTATATGGAATACCAACAGAATTTTCTGAAGTATAAAATATAAAAACTAAAGAAACAGCAAAACAGTTTACAGAAAAAATAAAATTAATCTTTAAAAAATATTTGCAGAAATGATATTTATTATTCACAAAACTATTTAGAACTTTATTTATACCTTCTTTGTTCTTATTTTGCAAAGTGCCATGTTTGGTTGCCCAGAGTGACTGCTACAGGTAGACACACTGACAACAGTAAGACGAAAACCTAGTGTAGGTAGGAAAGAATGGAAACTATATAGAGACTAACTTAGATATATAAAAAGGAGAGCAATATGAGGCTATTTGTATGGTAACAAATAGCTGTAAGTGGCTCAAATTGTTCACAAGGTCATGGTTTTACGGTCACTATAATAAAATCATAAGAAGTATTGAGGGGGAAAAAATGGAGTAATCTCTAATCCAGGCAGTAAGAAACAATCCAGGTAAAGAAAAAAAAGGAGGCGCTGGGTGCGGTGCCTCATGCCTGTAATCCCAGTACTTCTGGAAGCCGAGGCAGGCAGATTGTCTGAGCTCAGGAATTCGTGACCAGCCCGGGCAACATAGTGAAACCCCGTCTCTACTGAAATACAAAGGCCGGGCACAGGCCGGGCATGGTGGCCTGTGCCTGTAGTCCCAGCTAGTTGGGAGGCTGAGGCAGGAGAATTACTTGAACCTGGGAGGCAGAGGTTGCAGTTAGCCGAGATCACACCACTGCACTCCAGCCTGGGCAACAGAGAGTGAGGTTCCATATCAAAAGGAAAAAAAAAAGAAAGAGAGAGAAAGATTAAATTTTCAGCTATTGGAAATATTTGGCTTTTTAGAATGATCCATTTTCAAAGGATTACTGCTTCAGCTCTACAGTTAAAATATTGGCTTTTTCATTGAGAAGTAGTTGTCCACAAATGACTCATTAAAGATCTGTTTAGGAAGATGTGTGACTCAAAGAGGAGGCGGGTGAAATCTTTAATCACAATACTGACCTTTGTATTTGGTTAATGAAGACAAATAAGGAGCCTAATTGAAAGATTTGTATGTAGATGAAGGGGAAATGAAGGTAATTATTAGGGTGGGGTGAGAATTCTGCTGAGAGAGATATAATCAAACATGAAGGAATTGAAATAGAGATTCAGAAATAATTGCCTGGTTTCTTCTTTATCATCTTCCATCTAAGTTCTGAGCCAATATCTCAGTCAAATGGAATGGGGTCCATACCACACAGAAACCAACTCCAAAAGAGAAACTTCTGGACCAGTCTTGTTTGAACTGATTGACTGTTAGGTACGATGTTAAAAAAAAAATGGATCATTGAACTATATTATTCTATATGAGACCTGTAAATAATAATAGAAACTTAGAATTACAAATCTCTTTGATAAAATAGATGGGCCATCCTTTAAAATCTGATATTCTCCTTTATGCTTACACATAAGTGCATCTCATTTTTGTTGATTGAAAGCTAAAATTCTTCCAGGCCCTTCCCAGGATCACCCTCTCCAGGAAGTGTCCTTACTAGCATTGCCATAGCTAGTAAGATCACTGATGACTTCATCCATTCCTTGTTGAAAATGAGTTGAACAATGTTTCATTGGTAAAATTACTATAATTCAAAGGAAAATTACCTTTAAGGTTGTTTTGAACTTCTAAAGCTATATCAATTGCATTAAAGGGCAGAACAGGTTCGTTGGCAATTTGCAAAATCACTTCTCCTGAGAGCTGAAAGAAAAAAAGGAAAAAGAAAATACTAGCATTCAGTAATCAGGAGTTTTCATTTGTTTGTTTTTCATTATTTCAGGTATTTTTATACATCTAGAGGAGCGAAAACACACAGGAATAATATAGTTTTATAAAAATCTCTTTTTCTTTTAAACCTTTATTTAATTTTATATTTCTATAAAGAAAAAGTCCTCAGCTCTTTTTCATGTCTCAGAATAGCATAAAGAAATATATCATTCCTTTTGTGAGCTGAAATATTAAGAAATGGCTTCCCTAATTGAAAGAGTTGTAATATTTAGACTTTAAATAATTCCTTACAGTTCATAATATCACATGATCAAACAAACAGTAGAGAGGAGCACCTGAAAATCAATGCCTGGTTATTGGACTAAGGAAAACTTCAGACAAAATTAATGATCGATCTATTTTATTTGATAACCTACAGGCCACATTTGGCAGTTTACTTTGAAGGTAAACAGGCTTCCAAGTTAACTTGTTTTGTGATTTATGGTAACATCCAGTCACTGAGTAAAGAATTTTTTTCTGAGTTCCCCAAATTGCATACTGATGAATGCATAACCTAATGACATTGAAAAGGATGCTGATTTGTTTTGAATTGTGAAGTTTTGCTGATTTGTTTCAGAATCAGGAAGTTTTACCAATTGTCTTGTATGTAGACATTGTAACCTGTATGTTGATATTTGTAGCCAGTGATTGTAACCTCTGTATTATACCCTCCAGTATAAAGAACAACTCTGATAGGAGGAGTCTTCCTCCTTTCTTCTAAACTTCCTTAGGAAAGCCTCCCAACCTGTAACAGACTCTTTGTTGGTGTGTCTTCACGGGTAGATCTTCACATTTGGCTTCCAATAACCCTTCTTCAAAATCTTAGATACGATTTTCCTTCGTGCTTTTATTCTATTCCTAATTGCTTTTTTAATTTTTATAACTTTCTATAATCGAAACTAATAGTATTAATACATCTTTGAGATCAATGCTTAAAATAAATACAAATTTTAAAAGGCATCCCCAAAGCTCCTATCCGTAATTTTTACACATGCATAATTCCCCCATAACCCCACCCCAAAACTGTCTGAATATTGACACATGCACTACAGCTGAACTAGCATCTGCTTAACAGGCTGAACAAGTCATAAGCATTCATACACCTCTCAAAGGACCTTAGGGCTGACAGAAAGTGCCATTTTTACCTCTCTCTCTCTCTCTCTCTCTCTCTCTCACATAAGTGATATTTAATATTTACCTGGGCTTAACGAATGTCCCTACATCTCTCATAACTCTGAAGGCAGCACACAGGGAAATGTGACCGTGTTGATATTATTAATGCAGTATGAAATGTGGTTAGTGAATGAAAAGCATTGTCTTGTGAAACTACACAGGGGAAATTAGCACACTAACTTGAGACACAATGCATAAAAGATATAATTTACAAGGAAATTATTCTGTTACATATCCAAATATATATATTCAACAAGGTGCAAATTCCATTTAAAATTGGATACGGTTTGGCTCTGTGTCCCCACCCAAATTTCATCTTGTAGCTCCCATAATTCCCATGTGTTATAGGAGGGACCTGGTAATAGATGACTGAATCATGGGGGTATATCTGTCCCATGCTGTTCTTGTGATAGTGAATGTGTCTCACAAGATCTGATGGTGTTAAAAATGGGAGTTTTCCCGCTCTCTTTTTCCCTGCTACCATCCTTGAAAGATGTGACTTGCTCCTCCTTGTATTCCGCCATGATGGTGAGCCTTCCCCAGCCATGTGAAACTGTGAGTTTTCCATTAAACCTCTTTCCTTTGTAAATTGCCCGGTCTTCAGTATGTCTTTATCAGCAGCATGAAAACAGACTAATACAATAAATAGGTACCAGGAATGGGGCACTGCTGAAAAGATACCTGAAAATGTGGAAGCAACTTTGGAACTGGGAAATAGGCAGATGTTGGAACAGTTTGGAGGGCTGAGAAAAAGACAGGAAAATGTGGGAAAGTTTGCAACTCCGTAGAGATTTGTTGAATGACTTTGACCAAAATGCTGACAATTATAGAGAAAATGAAATCCAGGGTGAGGTGGTCTCAGATAAAGATAAGGAACTTGTTGGGAACTGGAGCAAAGGTGACTCTTGTTATGTTCCAACAAAGAGATTGGTGGCATTTTGCCTCTGTCCTAGAGATTTGTGGAACTTTGAATTTGAGAGAGATGATTTAAGGTATCTGGTAGAAGAAATTTCTAAGCAACAAAGGATTCAAGAGATGACTTGGGTGTTGATAAAGGCATTCAGTTTTAAAAGGGAAACAGACCATAAAAGTATGGAAAATTTGCAGCCTGACAATGCGATAGAAAAGAAAATGCCATTTTCTATGGAGAAATTAAAGGCAGCTAGAGAAATTCGCCCAAGTAAAAAGGAGCCAAATGTTAAATCATCACGACAATGGGGAAAATGTCTACAGGGCATGTCAGAGACTTTGTGCAGCCCCTCCCATCACAAGCCTGGAGGTTTTGGAGGAAAAAATAGTTTTGTTGGCCAGGCCCAGGGGCCCTCTGCTGTGTTCAGTCTGGGGACTTGGTGCTCTGAGTCCCAGCTACTCCATTCTTGACTAAAAGGGGCCAAGGAACAACTCAGGCTGTTGCTTCAGAGGGTGGAAGCCTCAAGTCTTGGAAGCTTCCACATGGTATTGGTCCTGTGGGTACAGAGAAGTCAAGAATTGTGGTTTGGAACCTCGGCCTAAATTTCATAAGGTGTATGGAAATGCCTGGATGCCCAAGCAAAAATGTTTGCAGGGGTGAGGCCATCATGGAGAACCTCTACTAGGGCAGTGCAAAAAAGAAATGTGGGGTCACAGCCCCCACAGAGTCCCTACTGGGGCACCACCTAGTGGAGCTGTGAGAAGAGGGCCACCATCCTCAGACTCCAGAATGGTAGATCCACCGGCAGCTTGCACTGTGTACCTGAAAAAGTCACAGATGCTCAACACTAGCTGGTAAAAGCCGCCAGAAGGGGGGCTATACCCTGCAAAGCCACATGGGCGGAGCTTCCCAAGGCCGTGGGAACCCACACCCTGCATCAGCATAACCTGGATGTGAGACATGGAGTCAAAGGAGATCATTTTAGAACTTTAACACTTGACTGCCCTGCTGGATTTTGGACTTGCATGGAGCCTATAGCCCCTGTGTTTTGGTCAATTTCTCCCATTTGTAATGGCTGTATTTACCCAATGCCTGTACCCCCATCGTATCTAAGAAGTAACTAATTTGCTTTTGATTTTACAGGCTCATAGATGGAAGGGACTTGCCTTGTCTCAGATGAGACTTTGGACTGTGGACTTTTGAGTTAATGTTGAAATGAGTTGAGACTTTGGGGAACTGTTGGGAAGGTATGTTTGGTTTTGAAATGTGAAGATACGAGATTTGGGAGGGGCCAGGGGTGCAATGATACGGGTTGGCTCTGTGTTCCCACCCAAATCTCGTCTTGTAGCTCCCATACTTCCCACATGTTGTGGGAAGGACCCAGTAGGAGATGACTGAATCTTGGGGGCAGGTCTTTCCCATGCTGTTCTTGTGATAGGGAATGGGTCTCATGAGATCTGATGATGATAAAAACAAGAGTTTTCCTATACAAGCTCTCTCTTTTCCTACTGCCATCCACGTAAGATGTAACTTGCTCCACCGCGCCTTCCGACATGATTATGAGGCTTCCCCAGCCTCATGGAACTGTGAGTTCTCCATTAAATCTCTTTCCTTTGTAAATTGCCCAGTCATCAGTATGTGTGTGTTTTTTTTGTTTGTTTTGTTTTGTTTTTGAGATGGAGTCTCGCTCAGTCACCAGACTGGGGTGCAGTGGTGCAATCTGGGCTCACTGCAAGCTCCACCTCCCGGATTCACACCATTCTCCTGCCTCAGCCTCCCGAGTAGCTAGGACTACAGGTGCCTGCCATCAGGCCCGGCTAATATTTTTGTACTTTTTTTTAGTAGATACAGGGTTTCACCGTGTTAGCCAGGATGGTCTCGATCTCCTGACCTTGTGATCCGCCTGCCTTGGCTTCCCAAAGTGCTGGGATTACAGGCGTGAGCCACCGCGCCCAGCCTGCTATGCCTTTATCAGCAGTGTGAAAACGAACTAATACAATATTAAAAGTTATATTTCCCAATTATTTGCCCAATTCAAGTCATAAAAATACAATTCAATTTGATCTTCTTCTATATGCTTGGGAAAATGTGTTTATTAGAAATAAAGAGAAGAAAGAACCCCTTTTTAATTTTTATTTTAAGTTCTGGGGTACATGTGCAGGATATGCAGGTTTGTTACACAGGTAAATGTGCACGATGGTGGTTTGCTGCACTTATCAACCCATCACCTAGGTATTAAGCCCCACATGCATTAGCTATTTTTCCTAATGCTCTCCCTCCTGCCACCCTACCCCGCTACCAGACCCCAGTGTGTATTATTCCCCTCCTGCATCCATGTGTTCTCACTGAAGAACCACTTTTGATAATCTTTTATTCCTTTGTTTTCTCCCAAATGTAGCAACCAATTTCTAACATACCTTTGCAGAGACTTATCCTCAACATTGGGGTGCTGAAAAAGTATTCTACCACATGAGACTTTGACATACTGAGCTAAAGAAAGAGCCTCAAGGTCTCTCTGTCCTTGCTTGCCCCGTACCCTCCCAACACTTCTATCTTTCTCAAAGCAAAAGATGAGGATGTTCTCTGAAGTTCTCTTATCCATCTAAAAACTGTGAACCTCCAAAGAGGAACACAATTACCTTTCATCCTCTCTTGGAAATCTCATTGTCAATGAGGGATGCAACCACACCTGGATGGACTTTTTCAAACAGATAGTGTTGCCTCTAAGGATGATTCAAATACTAAAGAGAATCATTTACAAATTAATTTTGTCTCCCAAGTCCATTTATTATCCCTAATAATAATTTACCATTCATGAGAAGAATGGTCTAAATTCCCCATCTCTCT